TACTCAGATCCGATCCATCAAAGGGGAGGCCCAATAGATAGATATTGTTGTTTTTTAGCTGGAAGCTCAGGAAGGCGAGTGGATTGGGGGGTGGGGGGGTAAGGTATGGGGTGAACATGAGGCATAGCTAGATGTATGGTTGTGGCCTGGGAGGTTAAGGGTAGAGGGTGGCGTGTGTGGGAAACAGGACCCCCGTGGGTGTTGCCGGCCCCCCAGGGGTGTTTGGGGGGGGGGGGGGGACGACGCCACAGTGACGCTAGTTTTTATTATTTTTGCCCCCCTTCCATGTTATAGAGCACTAGTGAGTTGGTGATAGTATTTGCAGTAGTAACAGTGTAAAGCTTTTGAAGTTAGAGAAACAGTCACCATATTAGGAATCATGAAAGGTGCCGAAGTCAAGCCCAGGGGAAGATTTTGGGAACTGTACCACCAACGAAGGTCAGAGCAGGTTGAAAGAAAAACATTCCAGGTGGAACTGGGACTAGAATGGTGGTTTTATGGGGTTCAGGAATTGGGGGCATTAGAACGATGGGGGTTTAAGATTGGGGATCCCTGGTTTGGATAGGGAGGGGAGTTTGGCAGAGACGATGTTACGGATGGACAGGGGGTGAAAGAAGGGAATGAAGTAAGTTAGGAACGGAAGGAGGCTTTTAAAATGAAATAAATCCATTTGAGGAATGGTTAGTGGCAGTGACATGCGGTTGACAATATGGGGAGAAGTGAATTCATCCAGCGGTAAAAGTGAAGTAAAAACGGATGCAGGGAGGATATTTTTTCACATCTGCCCACCCGGAAGCAAAAACTCCAGAGGAAAACGGTTAAAATTGAAGGGGAAAATAATCTGTCCTCCAAAGACTTCCAAGTTATTGTGATGGCTTTTTTCCAGCCTGCAGAAATGAGGCACACAACATGGCGGCCTGTCAGTGACTGCGCAGCAGTAGCTCTGCCTTGCCGCCGGGGTCTTTTTGAGTGTTAATCCTGGACCTGGATTTAATTAGCTTGTAGTATTGAATCATAGTCACAAATCTTAACTTGTGCTGAAAATTTTAGATACAATGATTTGGGGGGGGGGATTTGGAATCTGTCACAACTACAAGAGAGAGGTAGGCCTGTGGACAGGGTTGCTGCACGTCATGTAATCTAAGCAGCTAGTGTCTCAGGAGGTACGGGAAGGCTTTTTATATGCTATGGAGAATAGACCCCCCCCCCTTTCCGGTTTGATTTCAGTGGGATCTGTATGGTGGGTGGATGTGTGGTAGACTCTTAGAGCAGCCCATTCAGTTCAGCCGGGGAGAAGAAATGATCCACCCTGTCTGTAAGAACGGCAGCAGTCCCAACATGGCGCCCGAGAGGCATATGATGCAAAAAAGAAAGAGTAGGCGAGTCCCAGGCTATGTGCTTGCTGACATGTCAGCTAGCCGCACGTGTTACAGATTTCATGACACATTTTAGGCCCAAGGGCTCTTGATCCTTTTCTCATTAAAATAGCAAAGGGGGTAACTCATCTCCTTCTCCACTTGAAACATAGTTCTCGGCCTCTTCCCCTCCTCTCCCTCCCATCTCCAGGTTGTTGTTTGTTTGTTTTTTTAAAATTTGCTAATCTGGGATTTTAAGTAATGGTAAAATTTAATAGGCGGGATGGGGAAGGCTTTTGGGTTAACAGGTTGGGTTAACATCAGGATATTCTCCAGGCACTTTTCCTCCTCAGTTTCAAGTTATTTTCAGTCTTCCTGTTAATGGCCGGACCTGCATAACGACTCAGATCCCAGTATTCTTAAGCTGTGGGTTAGGTGGGGTGGTGACATAGTTTCCCCACAAGTGTATTTAAAGATACCTAAAACCTGTACCTCTAATTGGATTTGCATAGTTGTCATTAGTGGTGGGGATGAAACAGCCTGAGACTTGAGTTCTCTTGGGGGGGGGGAACACTTCTGAGAGTGTTGTCTGAAGAATTTCTTTTTAGTGTAAAACAAAGAGTGGTTTGCTTACATTTTTTAATAAATGATTTTGAAATGTCTGACTGGTATTCTAATAACTGTAAATAAAATGTATGAAATATGTATTTGTCTTTTTATTTACCGGGTGTAGTGCAGAAATCTGTTTCCAAAGTGTTTATTATTCTGTGGCCTCGGGGTTTACCACCAAAGAGTTATGTGGAAGGTTCGGATCTTTTGGGGGGAAGCTTAACTGAAAAACCGTGGACCCGCACATTTTTTAAACACCATGGTCTTCGAATGGGTGCAGCAGGCATTCTCTTAAGAAATCCAAATGTGTTTTCCCTGCAGATAATCTTGAGTTTAATTGCCTTCAGTTTCTCGGTGGTTTGTACTGCCTTCTCACTTTCCACAACTGCTAGGGGTGGTCTAATGCTGGTTTACCTTGACTTGGGGGTGGAGGGGGACAGTCCTCATTAATTCCAGTGTGTTTCCTTTTTGAGACTAATAGAGGAGTTTGCTAACAAATATTTTAAATTGAGCCTAAAATACCCACAGTCTAAAAAAGATCTGGTACTTAAATGTGGCTGTCAAAACATTTAACTTGCTTTAAAATGAGAGGGGTGTGTGTGTGCCTTAACTTCTAAAAACCAAGTCTGTGATAGGCTTGCTTCCTTATTGTCTCACGTGCACTTTCCACAGATCCGAGAGTATTATGGGGCCCCTAACCCTTACACTAGCAGTTTTGCTGCTCAATAAATTAAAATGGCGCAGGCTTACCTTTTGGGAATAAGATCTTGTGTGTCAGCTAAGTTTCCCTGACAGCTGTCCTCCACTGTCAGAACAATCACTTCTGGAGCTTAAAAAGTAGGGGGTTCAAGAGTGGCAAAGTCCCTTAATCCTTCCTAGGCCCTAGTATGACAACCAAAATTGGGTCCTGACAGTTTGCTTCCTATCAACTGGTATCTAACCCAATTCTTTTCATTTCCAAACTGCTAGGTAGTTAATAATCTCCTGTACATGTCCTATGCATCATTTTGTGGCCTTTGTTTAATATGAAGGCGTACTTTCCTCTTAAGTTCTTACGATGTGCCATCCGATGAAAACCCCATTTGGTTGAAGTCTTGCTTGGTATGGATCACCCCTCAAAGCAAATTTCCAATAACAGTCTACTAATATGGGATGAATATTCTGTGTGAAGCCCTTTCATATCCCCCCACCCCTTCACACACACGGGAATGGTTTGGGGTTACAAACACTACCCTTGGCAAATGTCTTCACAACTTATTTGTGCTATTTAGTGGGGAAGAAGTTAAAGACAATAAAGAGCAATTCCTCATTTGTCTGGACAGTGGGTTTTCATGATGGTTTGCAGACCCCGTTGGCTTCCAGATGTAAAGCTGCATGTTGCCTACTTAAGATTTAGGATGGCTGGGTGGTAAACAGGAATTTTGTTACTCCTGTGTGAAAGGACAGTGAATACACAATTTAATGAACCTTCCCAACAAATCTGTACACGCTGGTGGTTTATTTGGAAACTTTCTGCTCCTTCCTGATATGGATGAGATGTTAACGTTCATTTTGACCGGAACTAAGAAGGCTTCCATTTTCTTGGGAAGTTCAGTCTCGACGACATGCCATGCCCTCCACAACTTCGGGGCCCTCTCGTGTTTGAAAAAGGTTCCCAACTTCCTCCTTGGACATTGAGGGGTGCCCAGACTCCGAAGACTGTGTCCCTGTCAGTCTTTGATTCCACTTGATCCTGTATGTTCAACACCACAATTCCACTGTGGATTTATCCTTTTTTTGCTCCAGTTGTGTACCTTACACACAGCTTTGAAAAATGAGTGGGATTGCTTCAACTGGCCTGTGGTGGGTGACGCCTGCATACCATTGGTTTGGGTTGTAGCGAGTGACTGTCCTACAAATATGGCTCACTCAAAGACTGGTGTTTGCTATCTCTCCATCCGCTGCAGTTCCCCCCCCCCTTGAGAAAAGCACAATATTGTGTGGGACTTGATGCATTGATTCGTGTCCCATCTTCTAAAGGTACCAGTAGAAACCAGTATGGGGTCATTCAAAATGTGCCAAAGTGATAGAGGTTTAAAGAGCTGCGTTGCATATACTCAGGAACAGAGTCAAGTCATGGGCTAATTCTGATTGCCGTGGCAAAAATACGAGTCTCCGCTTTTAAGGCTACACAATCTGCCCAATGTAGCTTAACAAATGGTATTTAACTACTCAGCTGTTCAAAGTAGATCATAAGCTTCCTCACGTCTTAATGGGTACAGTGCAAAAGGTCTGGTGATCTGGGGGAGATGGTAGTGCCTTAGATGGTGTGTTTTTTTGGAAAAGCAATCACAGTGTTGTATAACTAAATGTCTCAGTTTTCTTCTTATTACTCCAGGCTCCTGCTAGCGAGAAACTTCCTGTTATGTACCTAATGGACTCCATTGTCAAGAATGTTGGAAGAGAGTATCTTTCTGCGTTTACTAAAAACCTAGTTGCAACATTTGTAAATGTGTTTGAAAAGGTATATATAGACAGGCTTTCAGAAATGTTTTCAAATCTGGTACTGTGTAAATAAATACTTGGCAATCAGTCTTGGGTTTTCTTGGGGACTAGTGTGTAAGGTATACAGTGCAACTTTCTGTGTCAGCAGGACTTCGTATGCTCATGTTCAACTGATAGTCAGAACAGCATTGTGTAAAAATGTATGCCATGAGAAAGATTTAAGATCCAGAAATGGGAGAAGGCCTGCATGAAAGAACTGAATGAGTTGTTGCCATTTTAACTTTACGGTTAATTACGGTGTGCTGCTTGGATGTGAATGCTTGTTCCACCCAAAAGAAAACTGAATTCTCTGGGGCTTCAATAACATCTTTTTTAGACTTACAGAGGGATTTTTAAATGAATCTTTGTGTAGTCTTCTAGCCCTATCCCTTTCGATTTATACAGTAATTTGGTTAGTTGATGCTCGCATATGGGAGTTCAGTGTGTAAGCAGTGGTTACTTAACCAGATTCTGCAATGATCTGGAAACTTATTACAGTTTTGGACCCTTTGTCTCTGACATCTCACAGCCTACTCAGTTTGGTAGTTTTGACTATCCGTGCATCTCTTTAAATTGGAACCACCAATCATACATGGTATTTCTGGCACCAAGGGACTGACCAAAAGCGGTGGGGGGGAGGAGTTTCGCACTGCAGTTCTCTTTATAGGTAGCTTTTGTTATGGAGAGCAAACTTGCATGGAGAGAGAGTCCATTTGTGCTGTGAATAACTCGTACATCAGTGCTATCAAATCGCCACCTGCCCTGTTCCGTACATTTTTGTTTAATCTTCACTAGAACATTTCTAGTCTGCCTTTCCTCTGGGTTCAGGCAGCTTACAATAAGTGCCGTTTGTGACCAATCTCTGCCATGTGGTCTAAAATCCGAATGGGCTGTATCTTCCTGCCATACATGACTGACTGGCTCTGTAGGTGGCAGAGACAAAAGAACTTCGATCCACAACTGTCATAAGACAAGTCTGCACCTGATCCTTTAGAGAAAGGCTCATTGACATGCGTAGGATTGCAGTTAATGCAGTGGCATCCATGTGGTAATGTCTGGATTGCCTGTATACCTATGCAAGGGATGATAAATTTACAGAATTAGTATGTTGCTAATAGTCCCAACAGTGAAAGGTTCAAATAAGAGGTTTTACTATTTTCATGGTTCTGTTTAAACATGGCTATCCATACACACCATGGTCCTTTGCTCACTTGTGTAGGCAAAGTTGTGGTCTTCCATGAGGCTTAAGTACGTATATGGTGAGCAAAAGTACAGTTCTGGACAGCACTTCTAGGAACTTGTTCTAAGAAGCATAACAACTGTTTCCTATTATGAATGGATCTGTAGAATCCATCTCTTGTAGTCCTGCAGTGGGCCTTTTGAGTTGGTCGACTAGCAGAATGGAATGGATCTGTAGAATCCATCTCTTGTAATCCTGCAATGGTCCATTTGTTTCTGTTGGCCTTTTGAGTTGGTCGACTGGCAGAACTATTGCAGTCAGTATAATTTTTCTTGCAAATGGATCAGTCATTGGGTTAACTGCAGTATAGTGAGGTTGTTGTACCTTCGTAACGGTTGCACTTTACGTGATGACTTCAGTTACCCTCAAATGCCCAGTTGGTCTTTCCATGTAAATACTACCAGTGTCAGTGGATTAAGGCCCCCCCCCCCAGCATCACTTACTTCGATCCACTGCTTACCACCATGTTGGGATTTTTCCAACCTTGACAGCAAACATGATTGGTATGACACACAAATTGTAATTAACGAGTGGGTAAGGATTAGACTTCGTATTGTGTGTTCATGCCCTTGGGTAAGTGTAACGTATAGACCAGCAGTCACTATGGATGGCATTGTATGAGCATTCTTGGTTTTACTTTCCTCCAGAACTGAGTGCGTTTGTGTGTCGTTTTGCACTGTTTGCAGCAGCTCTTGCAGTGTTTCAAATTTAGTAGCTTTTATTCCAATGATTTATTAGTTTTAAATAAAAATCTGGACATTGCAAAGTCCATTTTAATGCATTTGGTGGGTTATTTGCCCCACCAATAAAGATTTTAAAGTGTAGAGAACAGAACACTTTTGGAAATACGTAATATATCTCCTAGGACTTGGTGGTGGAAATAGCATTTTAGACATTCACAGACATAAACACTGCAGAAGAATTCTAAAAAAAACAGATTTTTATTCAGAAGTAGGTTAAATGGCTTAGTATCATCTGTTTTGCAGAACTTGGGAGTTACAGCCCCAGCAAATCGTCCATATGCTAATGCGTATTTGGGTTAACACATACAAGACGTTTTCTTATGCAGTCCAGATTTCTTTCAATATTGCCGCAAGAACACTGTGACTTTTGGAATGCTTCTGTTCGAAATACTTCTAGTTTATTCTTCTCTTGATGTTCTAGGCAGTTTCTCTTAATGTTCAGCAAAATACATCCAGTATGGCTTCAGTCCAGCCACCTTTGAAACCGCACGTTCCACCGCCACCTCACATGCCAGTTAAACCTCTCCATCAAGCTTGTCTGCCGCCTGAAAAAAACCACCTGTCTCCACTTCATGATGTCAAAATGGCCAACAGAGATCCTCGTCTCAATAGGATGAGTCAACATCCTCCTCATGCTAAAGATCAAAGTCATAGGAAGGATTTTGCCATGAGTCCAGCAAATCAGCTTGACAAGTCAAGTAAAACTCTACAGGCTGAGAAACATAACACCTCGAAGCAAGAAAAACTGAAGCAGGGGGACAAGATGCAGAAGAAGGAGTTTGAGCAATTGGAGGCAAAGTCTAAATCAAAATCTCCATCTCCCTTGCAAAACAAGCTTCTTCACGCTAAAGATACCAGAAACCAAGAGTGTGAGAACATGAGAGCATCTGAGATGAGCAAAAGAGATCCACGATTGAAAAAACATCTTCTGGACAAGCCTGATGGTAAAGATGATGATACAAAAGAAAAGAGAAGAAGCATGGAGAGGAAAGATAAAGAAGAACATAGATCTCTTGGAAGTAGAAGTAAAATTATTAATGGTGTTGTCCAAAAGCAAGATGCCAATATGGAAGAGTCAGAAAAACAGGGAGGAAAACAAGGAAGGTCAAGTATTAGGAAAAGGTCACGTTCTCCTCGATCTCGGTCACCATCTTCCCATTCCCCGAAACGAAGAGATAGGAGATCACCCAAACGAAGGCTGAGAAGCCTTTCTCCTTTGGGACCTAAAACTGGGAAGCTTCGACAGTTGGGGCCTAAGCCATCCCACCCGGAAGATTTTGGGCAAGGGTTGCGGGATGAACGAGGCTCTAATAAGAGGAGCCTCAAACAGGAGATGAGGGATTCAAGGAGGCCAAAGAAAATACATGATGACCGGCCACAGGAAGGGATGAGCCAGCACTCTTCAAGAGCAAGTTCGGAACCCAAAGAAAACGTGGAAAATTGGCCCGGTTCCAAGTCAAGCAAAAGGTGGAAGTCCGGTTGGGAGGAAAATAAAAAGTAAGTTGGTATTTATGACCTCTGATGAAAGATGAAGATCTAGCTTTGCTGTGCTTCTGGAGAAATGGTGGGTTGGATCCAACCAGCTTTTCCATTGGTGAAAAAGAGAGGGGCTCCTGGAACCACGCAAAGGGACCTATTTTGGGAATCAATGGATTCGCATGGAGAGAAGCCATACTAAGGGAGGGGCTGTTGTAAGGAGGAAAGTTTTCAATGTAAAAAGCTGGCTGGATCCAACCCTGGTACCTTAGAGGATAGTGAGATACTTGTTTTTGTATGCATTGTTTGTCAGGGCGGGAGGAGCTCTGTCGAAGATAACATGTTTCCTTTATTGACTGATAGTCCTCAACCCGCTGAAGACCATCAAGGAGCTTGCAAATCACCTCATCCAAGGCATAGGGACACCTGGCCGAGTAGCAAAGGAGTGACATCCCCTCGCACACCAAAGCAGCAACATCGATTAAGTGTGGATGCTAACCTGCAGATTCCCAAAGAATTGACTGTGGCAAACAAGAGAGATTTACTTAAGAAGGTAGTACATTTTTCTCTTGACATAAAAAAAAATGTAGATACAGACATATATATGTTTTTAAAAGCTTGTTGAATGTTACAACTTTCCATTTTTCCCCCACAGGCAAATGAGCGCATGTCATCTGGGGAAATAACGCAAGACGAGTTCCTTAGTTTGGTTCACCAAATTCGTCAGCTCTTCCAGTACCAAGAAGGAAAACACCGGTGTAATGTGTGGGATAGTCCCTCGGCGGAAAAAGGCATTTTGAAGAAGAAGCCCCTCTTGTCCGATGCCGATTTAATATATCACGAACATAAAGCCAAGCTGAAAAGGACACAGGTTCAGCATTCGTTTCCGAGACTCAACATGTTGGATCCTGATGAAATTTTAGACTACCACTTGAGCGATGCGTTTCTTTCCGGAATGGACTGTGAACAAACCAAAAACAAACAGTTTGGTGAACGATCGAGGCGGCATTCCCCCGTGGGTAGCAGTAGGCCGTACTCGGATAGTTCAACGCATGACAGTCGAAGAAGACACGACGAGCCCAGCTCTTCAAAAGGTACAAGGAATTTGGGAGGGGTGGTAAACTCATGTACGGAGAATCCATAGTTTTTAGAGTTTTGTTGGGTAGGAAGGCACTAGCACCTTGAAAGTGGAGGAGGTTGCACATTTCATCAGAAACATAAGAGCTCTGGTCCATCTTGTCCAGTATCCCATTTCCTATAGTGGCCAGCCAGATGCGTATGGAAGTCAAGAATATAGAAGAATCAGCCGAGAGCCATTCCTTGTTGTCCCCCAGTAACTTGTACTTAGCATGCTGCTTCTTAATGTAAAGATAATTTGCTTCATATAATAGGTGACTTTTATTTTCTTAGGCTATACCTTGTTGTCCCCCAGTAACTTGTACTTAGTAGCATGCTGCTTCTTAATGTAAAGATGATTTGCTTCATATAATAGGTGACTTTTACTTTCTTAGGCTATGACAATGCTTTTCTTTTGAAGGTGTTCGAGAAGAGCAAAGGTCTCCGTTTAGCGACCATTACAAGAGACCGAGATATGAAGATCCAGAGAAACCGTTTACTGAGAGTTCAGGATCACGGTTTGGGGTCATTGATGGAAAGTCAAGATTTGGTTCGCTGATGGAGGAGAGAGCTCATTTTGAGGGCTCGCCTAGACATCCCGGTGCAAGGGCAGTCGGAGACGGACAAACAAGTCACTTTGAAGGGCCTGCTAATACAAATTCTAGAATTGAAGGACCACCAGCACAGAGCAGTTTAAGGTTTGAGGGGGCCCTAGGTCAGCCTACATCTCAATTCGATGCGCCTCCAGGACAGTCTGGAGGAAAGAGTTCTCTCATGTTTGATGGACCACCGGGGCAGATGGGTGGTGGTCCCCTGAGGTTTGAAGGGCCTTCTGGGCAAGTTGGTGCAGGGTCTGCAATACGTTTTGAAAGTCCTATGGGGCAGCCAGGAGGAACTTTGAGGTTTGAGACACCCACAAGTCAAGCTATGGGTGGCATAAGGTTTGAAGGGCCTCATGGTCAGCCGCCAGGTGGGATGAGATTTGAAGCACCTCACGGCCAGCCATCTACTGGGATGAGATTTGAGGGACCACATGGTCAACCATCCTCTGGCATGAGGTTCGAAGGGCCTCTTGATCAGGCATCGGGTGGGATGCGGTTTGAAGGGCCTCATGGACAGCCTTCAGGTGGGATGAGGTTTGAGGGGCCCCATGGCCAACCTTCAAGTGGAATGAGATTTGAAGGCCCTCATGATCATTCTGTGAGACCTCATGGTCCCCCAGTAGCCGGAATGAGATTTGACGGACCCCACAGTCAGCCTATAGGGCCCCATGGCCAACCTGGGGCTGGGCTACGATTTGAAGGGCCACATATACAGCCAGTAGGGCCCCACGGTCAGCCAGGAGGTAATTTACGGTTCGAAGCACCACACGGTCAGCCTCTAGGTCCACCTGGTCAGCCGGCAGGCGGTCTTAGATTTGAGGGGCCACGTGGCCAACCAGGAGTAGGGCCTAGGTTTGAGGGGCCCCATGGCCAGTCTGTGGGGCTACACGGACAGCCAGGGATTGGTCCTAGATTTGAGGGACCAGCAGGAGGTGGAGGCGGACTTAGGTTTGAAGGGCCTATCAACCAAACTGGCCCCAGGTTTGATGGCTGTCAGTCAAGATTTGATGGCCAGCCATCACTTTTGCAAAGACTGGATGGATTGCATGGACAGCCTGGTCCAAGGTTTGAAATGGGACCTGCTCAGCAGACACCACCTCGGTTTGATGGTCCACCTGGTCAGCCGATACAGCCAAGATTTGATACGCCAATACCTCCAAGGTTTGAAGATCCTCAACACCAGCAGCAAGCGGCACGATTTGATATTCCTCTTGGTCAAGGTCCGAGAATGGAAAATGTAGCAAATCACCCCGCCTCAAGACTTGAAACACCCCCTTACGGACAAACCGGACCATACAACGAACCTCCCAACCAGCCTTTCAGCGGGCCGTCACAAGGCATGCAGTTTCAAAGACCAGAGCCAATGTTCGATTCTCCTCAAGGACCAAGCTTCAATGGGCCACCTGTCTCCACAGCACAGACCTTTCCTAATGCACTTAACAGGGCGCCTGGACATTATTACGACGACAAGAATCTTCAGGGACCTCAGTATGGCAACTTCAGTAATATGGCAGGAAACGTTCAGCAGCAGGTGAGGGTTACATAGGATTTCAGTTTGTTTGAGTAATATTCAGATCCGTTTTTTCTGTGCCCTTCGGTAACAGTGAAATATTTTTACATGTTAAAATATTTGAAATGTTCTTAGCGCTAGATTTAAGTGAAATCAAAGTCGAATTGCTGCCGTGACAACAGTTTGTTAGGTAGATTTATTCTTCCACAGAAATACAGGAAACCTTGGCAGTTAACGGGCACGGAAGGGTTTGGATCTGTTCCCCTAAGCATTATACCTTTCTCTGGTGCGCGAAGCCTTCTGCAGGATCCATCCCAGTGACTGGTTTTAAGGGAACATAACTCAATCCTCATGTCCGAAGAAATATTTGATAACACAACTGAACGTATATCTTGTGCATTCAAATATACTGCTTGTTTAATTGTACTCCATTTCAGTATGAAACCATGGTAGAATCAGCTAAACTCCTTTCATGATAGTCTGAATGAAGTGTAACGGTAACTGATTATAATTCTTTCCCTTGGTGTAACAGGAAAATGCAGTTAATGTTGCTCCTGTTTTCAGTACGGGTACTTGAGAACAAACTAGAGTTCAGTTTGCTGTTTAGCAGTTGTGGATGATGTAGTTCGGGATCCTCAGCATGGTGTCTGTGAAGTGCCATAGTGCCCGCTGACACCTTTCGTAGTGCTCGCCAGGTGTTTTTTAAAAGTGGGTGGGGCATTTGCCCAGCAAGGCTTCCGATTGGTCACGGGAGATTGGATTGTCTGCAATTTTTAAAGAAATGTTGCTGTGGCTGGGGCTTCCACCATAGCACAAGGATCTTCACTGTGTGACTGAAGACAAGCTGTGGCAGCCATTTTGTGGCTAAACTCCGCCTCCTACGGGAGCCATTTTGTGGCTGTGCTTAGCATGCTGCATCAGAATTCCAAAGATGCCCGCGGGTTCATAAAGGTCGGAGACCCCCGGTATAGTTTGTTCCAGAAAGCCATTTGTTTCAGCTTGACTTTAATATTGATATTTAATGTTTTAATTTTATACTGTGGGGTTTGATTAATCCAATGCCACACTTCTGTAAATGACTTCTCTCCTCCTATGTTTATGGCCAGATGCAAAATAAATCTCGTTCAGAGATTTGGAATTAAATAGGAAGACAGCTGGACTTACAGCGTTTCTCCCCCCTCCCTTCTCCTTGACAGGTTCCTGTTATATCAGTAGGATCTACTCAGCCTGTACCTTTCAGTCAAGGGCAGCCGCTCCTACCAGTTCATGTTCAAAATCCTGGTACCTTTGTCCAAAGTCAAGCAGGTGAGTACCTAAAGCTTTTGTTCTGTCTCTGAAAGCCTTCCTTACTGGAGGCCTTCGTTTGGAACGCTGTATTCTCGTTCATGTTTCTCGTTCCTAAGCATGTTCAGCAGCAGGGGGTTTCTGTAACTTAGTGGAATTCCTGTCATCTCCTGACCCTTGTGACCAGGACATTTAAGAACATAAGAACATAATCCCCTCCAACTTTGTGATTCTATAAGAGAAGACATATTGGATCAGGCCAATGGTCCCTCCAGTCTTAACATCCCGTGTCACACAGTGGTCAAAACCCAGGGGGCCTTAGGAGGTCTACCAACGGGGCCAGAACTCCAGAAGCCCTCCCACTGTTGCCCCCCAAACATCAAGAATATAGAGTATCACTGCCCCAGACAGTGTGTTCCATCCTTACATTGTGGCTGATAGCCACTGATGGACCTCTGCTCCATCGGTTTGTCCAGTCCCCTCTTGAAGCTTTCTGTGCTTGTAGCCGCCACCACCTCCTGTGGCAGTGAATCCCATGTGTGTATCACTCTTTGGGTGAAGAAGTACTTCCTTTTATCCGTTCTAACCCGACCGCTCTGCAGTTTCATGGAGTGCCCACGAGTTCTTGTATTGTGAGAATGCACCAACTCGGAGCTTACCAGTTGTTGTCCTTTATACAGTTTCTCCAGTACCTGACATTACGTTTTATGGCATGCATGGCCCGGCCTGACAAAGTGACATTTATGTTAGATCCGGCCCTTGTGACAAATGAGTTTGACACCTCTGATTTAGAAGGTAGCTTGGAACCGGGGCTGCCTTGGTTTCTCAATTCTGTCTCCCAAGTCTCTCAGCTTCGAGGCATTCCATATGTTTCATGCATCCATCATTGGTAAAATGTAGCCCGGTGGGGGTAGAAAGGGAATATAACTAACGAGATAGGAAGCTGTATTTTAAAGCATGCCTACAAGTAAATGTGAACTCACCAGTTGGGGTTGCAAGAGCTACCAGAGGCAATCCCGGGGCCTCGCATGTGCCTAATGAGATGGGTAACTGCGAGCCGTAGACCTGCATGCGGGATCACAGGCTGTTTCTGAAAACTCCGCTGGTGCTGAACTGGGGTACTGAATACCCCGAGGAGCTGCTGCTGAGGAAATGCAAGTTCAGTTCCCCTTGCACAGATGGGAGTCAGTTGTGTGCTGCTGCTTCCATCGAAATCAGTGGGCTGTTTTGCCATTTGTGCACTAGGGAAGTAGTGCAGAGAAGTGGAAAAGGGATGGAAGGGAGTGGAATGCTGGGGGGAGAAAGGTTGAGGGTAACCACATGATTACTTATGCCTTACCTGTTGTTAACCGTGAGACGATGTCGTGCTTTCTGGGAGAACGTACTAAGTGCGGAATGGAAATGTTTGTGACTTTCCAGGGAACGCCCCCCTTTCCTATGCTGATAATCACCTGGGACAGCTTGATGTGAACGAACTGTACTCAAAGCTGCTTTCAACAGGGATCCTCAAAGTTTTAAAACCTGACTCTGCGTCCTCCCGTAAGTATAGTTTTCACCCTTGCTTTATTTGTGCTGAACCCTCAACAGTGTTAAGCATGGTGGGCACCAGTGCCCCCTCTAAGCTGTGGAGTCTTGTGAGCAAAAAATTCTACTTTGCGAGCTACCGGCATTAAAGTTGTGAGCGAGCAATCTGGCTCCTGCATAAATTAGTTTGCTCTGGAGCCATCCTTCCTGAGCGGAGACAAAAACGTGTGAGCTGGAGGCTAAAAAACCATGAGCTAGCTCACTCTAACTCAGCTTAGAGGGAACACTGGTGGGCACTTTTAATTAAAATTTTGCAGTAAAGAACAACTGGATCTGCTTTGTGGTCTCTGTGCAGTCCCACAAATGGATACTGTGCCTGTGCCGGACCTGAGGCTTGGGTCCGGTGCTGGCACAGTACCCATGTGTGGGACTGCACAGATGACCACTTGACGATCATGAGTTACAGGTAAACCCTTCCTTCCTCCCTTCCTCCCTTCCCTTCCCTTCCCTTCCCTTCCCTTCCCTTCCCTTCCTCCCTTCCCTTCCTCCCTTCCTTCCTCCCTCCCTCCCTTCCTTCCTTCCTTCCTTCCTTCCTTCCTTCCTTCCTTCCTTCCTTCCTTCCTTCCTCCCTCCCTC